AGCTTGTTTCAAGTAGGTGCTTTAGACCACTGAGCCATCTCTCCAGCCCCTAAGCCATTTTATTTAATGTGAAAGATTTTCAACCTTTAAATTTTTTTTTTTTTTTTGTACCAGGAATTGAACTCTTGACCTTGCCCTTCCTTGCCAGGTAGGCACTGTGCTGCTGAGTTGTATCCCTGGCCTGGCTACGTTCTTTTCAATAAACACATTTTGAGATGTTTTGTTTTGTTTTTACTTCGCTCCACCCCACACCTCAGTACTGGAAATAAAACCCAGGTCATAGGTTATACTAGGCAAGCATTCTAATTCTGCGCTACAAATCCAGTTATTTTTTAAACTTTGAGATGAAGTCTTGCAATGTCACCTGACCTGATCTTGAATTTGGTCCTGTCTTAGCCCTTCCAGAGTAGCTGGTGTTACAGGCTTGCACTAACCAGATGCAACTTGTTTTAGTGTTTTTTTAAAAATGCATTTGGTACAGGGTCTCACAATGCGGCTCAACTCTTAATGATTCTCCTGTTTTCCTCCTCCCCATTGCTGGCATTATATGCGTGCGTCACCTCACCTAGACTCAGTGGCCTGCTTAATGCAATGTGAGGCTGGGGTGCCGGTCCACAGGGCTGGCGCAGCATGTGATGCAGGGGATTGAATCCTGGTTCCTGCGCTAGCCCAAGCAGGCGCTTAGTCTGCTGAGCTATCTCGCCAGCCCTGTTTAGTCTTTTTTTTTTTTTTAATTTTATTTGCATTTATTTTATGCTTAATTTATTCCCGTGCCATAAGTTTTTGTTTCTTCAGTTTCTTCTGGGATATCTTTTTCTTCTGTGCAACTTCCTCTTCTGGTTTGGGAACAATTTGTTCCTTTTCAGTAAGGATCATCTCAGTATGGCAGGGGGGGCTCATGTATGGATTAATCCGGCCATGAGCTCTGTAAGTACGGTGGCGCATCTTGGGTGCTTTGTTCACCTGGATATGTTCAATAACCAGAGAATCTACATCTAAACCCTTAATATTTATTTATTTTTATTTATTACATTTATTTATTGTGTGTGT